CAGAATAAAAATAATAATAAATGTCTTCGATATATCTGCTCTTTTTCAATAAAAAAGGAACTCGTAAATCTACTTACCTTGTCAATTGTCATATCAAAATTATTTGTTAAAAATATTTCTGACAAACAAGTACGCTGAAGTTGACATCAAAACGTTGCCCGGGTTTCATATTGACAATATCTTTGATGTTTTTGAAGACTAGGTCTTCTAACAATCTAATGGAATTCCAATGGGTATCAATTGCGCCCCGTTAAAAGCAGACCTATTTCTGTATTTATATGAAGCAGAATATGTGCAAAGTCTGATGCATGAAAAGAAGAAAACACTTGCCGTGGCCTTCGATGCATTAGATATATCGACAAAGTATTGTCAATTAACAATTGTAATTTCCATTCGTATGTCGATATGTTAAATCCTAGTGAGGTTGAGAAAAATGATACCACAGTGTCTGACACATCTGTTTCATGTTTGGATATTTTACTTGAAAAGACGTTAATGGTTATCTAACAACCAAGGTCTATATTAAACGTGATAACTTCAACTTTTCTATCGTCAATTTCCCTTACTTATGCAGCAATATACCTTCATCGCCTGCATACAGAGTATCTCATTTAATTCGATACGCAAGAACATGCTCTTCGTATGAACAATTTCTAAAACGAGATAAATTATTAACAAACAAGTTGATGAAACAAGAATATCAGCAGTCTCGTTAAAAGGCATCATTTTGTAATTTCAACAGTGACAATACAATGACCTTGTCAGCAAAGACAATTTATCATTCAGTCGAATGCTGACTGACATATTTCAAACTTATTGTTATTCCATTATTTGTACACTGAATTTACGATGGATTTTCCTTTCTATCCCGATCATGACAAGGAGCACACGGCGGTTGTGATCGGTCAGCAGGGGATGCTCACTCCTCCGTGGCACCTGATCCCACCTCTCATGTTTTTGAGGTTTGGGTTTTCTCTGGTCCTATTTTGTATTGTTTTATGGACTTTTGACATTGAATATTGTTCGTTATTTCCATTATCATGTTTCAATCAAGTGAAGATCTTTCACTATGTATACACTGTAGATCTATTTACAATATTTTTTGCATTGAAATCAGCTGTTCATGACAGTGTCCAATCAAATATACAAGACCGGTTAAAGTCTCCAATTAACTTTAAGGAATCTCCTAGGAATCTCATCAAGATAAGTGTATGAGGTAAAAAAAAATGCAAACCTCAAGAAACAATGACGTCAGAAAATTAAATGGCGACAGCGCCGGTTCATCATACATGTATAATGTCTTCTTTATTTTAGGATTATTTGATAAATATTCAAGATATCAAGCTTAACTTTTCCCTATTTCTTCAATTTTACTGTTTGATGTTTCTTCAAAAGTTTGTAAACATATGTATGGACTACATGTACATAGAATTCATTTTATTACATCAGTCCACGAACCTTTCCAACAGCCCGGAACCCCCGTAATGTAACAACGACTTTTTCAGTCTGTAAATCGCCATCGCTACAGAAAAATTACACAAATATTGAAATCTGAAAAAATATTGGATAAGATTAGAATTGTAATTATTTAAATGAAACTCCAGAGAGCATTAAATGGCAACGTTACAGCAACATTTTAAATTTATTTTGTTTATTCGAATGGCAACGATGGTGAACATTTTAAACGATACTTGCACAACTGCATATATTGGTTATTACAATTTGTGTTAAGAAGATTGTGCGGAAGATTCAATAATACATGTATTTTTATTAGACTTTACATTTAGTGAAGTGTGATAACTACAAAGTACTACTGATACATATCAAACAAAGTACAATGTAATGAAAATGAAAAAAAATGTGCTACTTGTAAGCTGGTATTTTACACAATCAGTTGAATCAATTTTTGTAACAGTTTTAAAACTACAGGTCTAGATATGTTCAAAATAAGACCTCAACAATAAAAGAGTCTTATAAAAGCATTGCTAAAACATACTGTAAAACGAGAGCATTTGGCTCACTACTAATTGTGTGCACTAATGAATTTCTAAACATTATTTTTTAGTGTGTTCAAAGCGTTCACATAACTACATGTAAACCGGAACGTGCGATTAAAACATTGCTGTGACGTCAAGCCTTTGTTCTTGCAGTCTAAAAATTTACCTGTAGCCGTCCGATAATAATAATTACCAGTCTGATAATATATTATCGGACGGCAATGATAACAAAATCGGACGGTATTTAAAAAAACAAGAAGAAGAGTGAAATTAAAATTAAATTTGTCCAGAAACCCCCAATAAAAATGTTAGGAAAAAAATTCAGGGAAACCAAACGAAAGGAAATTAAGTTGATAACAATACAAAATAGCAAATCCATGAAAAGAAATACGAGTTTAAACCTTCCACAACATTAATTTTTCATTCTTTAAAAGAGTTTTTGATTCAGCACTTTGAATAAGAGAATTTAAATCCATTTCTGGAAAAAAAGATTCTGCAATCTCCTTTTATGTTTGTTCCCCGAGGGCCACACTTTCAAAACCTGAGAATTTCCATTATCAAAGCTAAAAATTCAGCTATGGTAAAAATCCGCATTTTACTTGCCACGGTGATGGTTAAAATATCAGCCAAAATTATGTCAGTATCAATGTCAATTTATGCACATCATAAATAAAAATGTTCCCCCCAAAATCTTTCACCACCGTACCCCTGTCCTGCTAAACGAAACGACTGCCATTGAATGAATGGAATTAATTAAACAAGAGTTCACTAACTTTTTTACCGTTCACTCATTTCTTTTATCTACTTATCAGACTGGTAGAAAACAATGGATGCCTAAACTCCCATTGTGTTATTATCGGACTCCTCCAGGTAACTTTTGGACATTAAAATGGCAATGTTTTAAGTAAGATATATGCCTCATACTATTCTATATGTAAAATTATCAGACAGTTTTCGGCCCTAACGGGCCTCAAACAGTCTGATAATTTTACATATAGAACAGTATTCGGCATATATCCATTACTTACATAATGTTGGAGAGCCGTTGGATTTTTTTTATACGGGCCAGCACTGTAATGGTAGGATCGATCGATAAAGTTCTGCCAAATTATGTTGTTAAATGAGACTCTATAAAAAACCACGGATTTTTGCTTCAATTAGTTTTTCAACAAAGTATATTAATAACACCGTCATAATTATGGGTAAACTGTTCTTTCAGAAACAAGTGCCCGGAAAAAGATATGTAAAGCAACCTATACACGCGGCATGTTTAATTTCCATTTTAGTATATATTGTTTTTTTCTTTCTCAAACAATTACATTGAAAATCGCCAAGTAGTGAAATAATTATAAATGGTTGAAGTTTTTATTTAGTGCTATGAACGTTAAATTTTCCTGTATGTTAAGTTTTCCATTTTTACGTTTGGCGATTTTACATTAACCTATACGTCTCAGTACAGGAAAATCCCAATGGTTACTTTTAAGATGCTTTCAAGAAAAAATATTAATTTAGTCTTTGGAAAACATATTGTTTGAAATCAAGTTTCGCGTACTAGTATTTGATCGATTATCCCCTCGCAACACTGTATGTAAGGGTGTGTTTGTTAGTTTTAAAAGTCGTGCGAAACTCAAGTGAAGTAATTTGTATCGGGATCAATGTCGAGTGCTACATACTCTCTTTGCAGGGGATGCTCTGCTTGCTGTTCTTGTGACATTTTTGCTCCTTAGGGAGTCGACTTCAGTCATAAATTAACTTAAATCTCCCAAATTAGTGATGTCAAATTGGAGGAATTTTAGCTATTGGGTAATAGTTTAATTTCACTCTCCGATCGTGTCCACGGTTATTTGGGTGAATTTTAATATTACACCTCTCGACCACAGGTGGTAAAAGTGGTAAGAGTAAGTAATCAAATCGTGTAAAATTTTTAAATAAGGCTAGATCTATAGACTAACGGTATTTATTGTAAAGTGACATTTTGTGTTTCATTGATAAAATAATTTATTTTTTATTTATGTCTCTAGTTAAAGTGGAAATTTTAGCGAGACGCAAATTTAAAAAAAACGTATACATTTTAAGCAAAAAGTAATTTTAGCGATTTTAAGATGCTCACTAAAGAAGCCATGGCAAAAAAAGGTAAATAAATAAATAAAATAAAAAAATAAATATATATAAAAAAAATTGTCGGTATTACCGGTATATTAAACTGGTATTTGCTGTGTTCTGCGATACATGTACAATATAACTGTACCAGAAATTATCAACTTACCCATAGGTTAGGCTTGGTGCTCATGCCATCTAGTTTCATTCCATTTATTTCTACAAAAACGGGACACCTAGGTCTACGACATATACCGTGCCGATAAATCAATTTTGTCCTCCGAGCATTTAAATTACTTATGTCTTTCTTTTTGGATAAAAACGACGCAGTCGTATACCAATTTTATGGTATTCGGCATAGGATTGATTAATTTGACACTTTTTTAATGAAGCGCATGGACATTTTATGTAACCCTGGGATATCAGAAAAATGAAGACATCGCCGTTTATCTAGCAATATTTTTAGGGATAAAAACGTCTAAAATATAATTTAAGTATGATATTGTCATTATTCATATATTTTCCTTGCCATTGATATAAAACACTTGATATCTTCTAGCAAACCCATCTCTGCACAACCATACAAATGAATTTCCCAATGCTCTTTGTGAAAAAAAAAAACCACCGGTCATAGTGCACGACACCATAAGAAGTGTGCGCAGTATAGATTGTATCAAATTATTACATAACAATTGATATGAACAATTCAGAATCAACCTTTGTTGAATGATTGCATAACAGTTTGTCCCATCGTGATCACTCAAGGCTTTTTCTTCTGCGTTTTAACTTAAGGACAATGCATGTTATCTCCTTTCAAATTGATAAGGGAACTGGAGAATATGATTGGATAAGAATGTTTCTGAACATATATTATAAATAATAGAAAAGAAAATTGTTACAAGCGTTTCAAATTTATTTGAATAAATGAAACACCCAAGGTAAGAATTGTCTGTTTAAAGAATATATAGGCAACAGAAAGGACCAATAATAAACACGACGTCACTCAATAACAGATTTCATAATTAATATCTAAAATATAAAACAATCTTTTTTTGCATTCAGAATTGACCCCATCATTTCTGCATTGGTCCATGCATACATTTTTACTGACTTTACTTATTTCTTGTACCCAACATAGACATTATGGTTAGTCCTCGAACACAGGTAAACTGATTAGGGTTAGCCCCTAACAAAAATAACTTAGATTTTGAAATAATGCCTAATATATTTATAGCACCACCGAAACTGTGTCTGATTCGGAACTGGTCAAAAGCTATATTATTAGCATTTACACATTTACTAGGGATTTGGACATTCTCATCAAATATATTATTGAAATCATCCGTAAATTATTTTATTTTTCTAAATATTGCATTGAATGAACCATTTCATTATTTTGTAGAATGTTTACGCTACTACCTTTTGTCTGTATGCTGTTTCTTGCCTGCCACGCATACTCAGTAGACGCGACAGACACTGACGAAAAAATGAAACTGATTAAGCCATTGATGATGTTAACAGGAAATGTTGTCAATCTCGTTGACAAAAACCTGTGTTTTGAGAAAACCATGTGCCTTCTTGGAACTATGAAAGATTACAACGTTACCAACCCACTTGCTTTTATACCTTCGATTCTTTCCAATGCCAACTCATACTTCCAACCCGATGCTTACAGACGTCTAGAAGATACCCTCAATAAATCCCCTAAACTTATAAGCATTGTCCAGTCCTACCACTTTGGAAAATACTCACAACACGAGTCAGTTTGTGCTAACCGTTATCCTGAATGTACGTCCAACAACGTAAAACTGACGACTGCTTTAAAACAATTTGATGATGACCATTTTCCAAATCTCGTAGGACATACCCATCAAGTAAGATCAGCATCATGTGATGGTTTAAATCATTTATGTACAGCTTCTTCACTCGGGTGTGTCTTATGTACTTTTTCATTGGCAATGTCAATTATGTGTGGTGCCTTTTGCTCATCTGAGGTTTCTCTTACTTGTGATGTTGGCACTATCAGTTGTGCCATAGTTGATAATATCTTTGGCTGATATAGAAAGGAAATAAAATTGTAAAGTTTTACTTTTCATGTATATTACCTGTAAAGAATAGCTAACAGTTTTCATGGTCAAGCGTTATGACGTCAAATTGAAAGGAGGTTTAAACAAAAATACATTACATTAAAAACAAAAGGCCCATGGGTCTTATAGGTCACTTGAGCATCATGCAACAACTTTCAAGTGATTGAATTTGATTCATGTTTTAAGCCAGATGCTATGACATTCACAATTTTGAAAGAGGCACCATTGATCATTATAACTATACACTTAGCAGGTGCTTGGTTTGTTTATTTAATACCCATAGGCAGGGTAGGGGAACTAAAAATGCATTTCAACTAATTAAACAGTAATATTAAGCAATAATTAGTAGTGCCCCTACCACACATGAACCCTGACCCTTAGGCCTAGGTCCACACATTGCAATTTTTTTGAAAAGGCACCCTTGCTTTTCAAAAATATTTGATTAATACCAAGGAGCAGATATCAAACCATTCATTTTCAGTATATAAGTACAGCCCCCCCCCCACCCCCTGTCTATGGTATCCCTGGCCCTGCGGCCTTGAAATACACAATTCTCGAAGATTAGGGCCCTTGCTCATCATAACTATACCGGTCGTTCATCTGCTTTATACCCAGAAGCAGAGAAGAAAATTTTCAAAGATTTCATGTATTTTCTCTACATAATCAAAAGAGCCCCGGCCTCACACCGAAACTCCTGACCCTGGGGCCATAAAATTTACAATTTCAGTAGAGGCACTCTTGCTCATCAAAACCGTGCAATTAGTTAGCAAATTTAATACCCACGAGCAGAGAAGAAGATTTTGAAAGAATTAATCAGAGTATTTTCACTATATAATCAAAAAAGCCCCGCCCTAACACCAAAACCCCTGACCCTGGGGCCATAAAATTCATAATTTTGGTAGAGGCACTCTTGCTCATCATGCATGTAACAATGTACTTAGGTAGATTATTTAATACCCAGGAGCAGATAAGATTTTCAAAGAAATAATGCATTTTCACTATATACTCGTTTTAGCCCCTCCCTAGCGCTTGAACCCCTGACCTCAGGGTCATGAATTTCACAATTTTGGTAGAGGACTCAATGCTTATTACAATCATGCAAACAGTTCGACTGCTTGATGTCTAGGAGTAAAGAAGATTTTTAAAGATTGCATTAATTTTAGTAGTTTTGGCCCCACCCCTCAGGCCCCAGAGGGGCAGGGATCATGAAATTCACAATTTTGTTCCCCTTCACCTAAACATGATTTAATCAAAATTTGGTTGCAGAGAAGAAGCTGAAAATGTTCAAATGTTAACGCACGACGCACAACGCATGTCGACGGACGAAAACGGATATCAATACATCACCTAAGTTTTCTCAGGTGACCTAAAAAGTGAAAAATGAAGAATGTAAGGCACAAAAACCTTATTTTGCACCGACATAGAGCAAAAAAAAAAACAACAAAAAAAAACACACACACACGTCGCGTCTCGCAGTATAGATGCTGGCACGAAAAGATCCCTTCCGGCTCAATGACCCTGAGTGCCGAGGATAGGACGAAATTTGCAGCTCTCCAGCTGCTAGTCAAGTGGCGTCTCCTTATGAGTGAAAACTGAGTGAGATTGCTCGGTATATTTAATAATGAAATAGAGTAACTTAATATTTTTTAATAATCACTAAGCACATTTGTGTATTTATTTATATAAAGGAAATCATGTGATCTAAATGAGTACAAAATTGTGCATTTTTATTAATCACTATTTTGTGTGAATGCGTCCCAAATGGATTTACGGGTTTTATACTTAAGAACACTCTAGTTACGGCTATTAGCCTTATCCTTATCAATATAAATTTGGGCTTTACCCATCTCCTCCCCCTAAATCCTCCATACCTATTTTTATTGTAGAAAATACATGTACTAGTTTCTTTTGTATAAGGATTCTATTGTTATTTTTGTAGAAAATATATATGTGTTTTCTTTTGTATAAGGTGTGGGATATTTTTTGGGCCCAACCTTCAGCTGCATTCTGAAATTGTAAAATCTGTAATCTCATTTGGCAGTTGTAATAAATGCTCTATACACACACACACCCTCTTTATTATTTAACATGCTGCAGAACAGAGCTGCAAATGTGCTTCAGGTTCATATGAACCAAATTGTTCATAAGTTTCAGTATTTAAGAGCACATAAAAGAATAAATCATAAATAAATCATTGAAATCCAATTTTGTCAGTGACTTGGACACAATTATGATGCTGTCGCTGACGTAAAATTTAGTGCATATTAAATGTCCAGAAAAAGTTTTATGCTCATTGTACTCTTTTACCTAGATTTACTGTTATATGTATGCAAAGATGTTTTTTTATCAATTTTTGGGTATATATATTTTTAAAATATTAGTTTCTTTTACTTAAAAAACATTGAATTGCCTCAAAGGTAATGTCCGGAAATAAAAAAAAAATATGTCGGAAATGAAAACAAAAAAAGTCGGAAATGAAAACAAAAATATCGGAAATGCTATGCATATTTCTGGAAATGAAATGCAGCGGGATAAACAGCTATTTCCATTTTTTGCAACAATAGGAGAGCTTTACCGCATTTGATAGTCACTTCCGCCTACTCTAGTAGTGATTTTTAAAAATTGGTTAACCAAACTTTTGTCATACAATGTTACTTTATACATACCTTAAAGCAAATCACACAAAAATAATACTTAAATATTAATAATTCCCTCATATGATAGATATAAAAATCGTTCAGTTTATATGGAGAATATAGTAAATACTGAGGTACCCCCTATAGAATAACAATCTGTAGCAGAAAGACCATCCTTAACCAGAAAAAGAACTTCCGAATAATCTTATTTGGATATGACTGCACTTCGTTACATTTAGATTGACTGATTGATTTATTGTTTAACGTCCCTCTTGAGAATTTTTCATTCATGTGGAGACGTCACCGTATGCCGGTGAAGGGCTTCAAATTTAGACCTATACTCGGCACTCAGGGCCATTGCGCAGTGAGTTCTTTATCGTGCCAGCGCCTACCGTGACACGGGACCTACGTTTTTAAGGTCATATCCGAAAGACCCGTGATTTTCACTTCTAGTGCCGAGCGCTTGGCGAAGGAACAGTCACTACCTTTGTTAACGTCTTATGTATGACGCGGCGCCGCGAACGAGAATCGAACCCGGGCCTCCCGATCACAAAGCCGTTACATTTAGATAATTTTGGTTAGACGTGGTCTTCGTATTGAAAATATTAAAAATGTTGTAAATTTTTCTTCTCAAAATCATTTTAAGATTCTGTCTTAAATTTACCCATCCTTATACAATGACTTCGTTACGAAGTGGCATGAGTGCTGCATTGTAGACATAATGATCATGAGTTCGAATCTCACAGTGCGTATGTCTTATCTATGCTTTTATTTTTTTTCTCGCTCTGCATTTTTCCTAATAGTATGTATTCTTTTATTATTTTACTATATATGTACAGATAATGTAATAGATATACAGGGGTATAATACAAAGTTACACGTTGAAAGTATCTCGGGAAAACAGTCCTGAACTATTTTAATGACCCAAAGTCATAGCTAGCTTGTTTTGTTTTTAACATTTCTAAAAATCTTGTTTAGAATAAAAGTTTCGAACAAGGAAGATTATTGTCACGTAATAAAATTGCAACTATGAAGATATAACACTGGTCAAGAAATGATTAGATACATGTAGTTTGATCTTGAATTGAAAAGGTACATGTACCTATCAATAGAAACAGGTGATTTCCTTTTAAATACTTGAGTCGGTCGTGTTGTCGGTAAGGCAGCTATGGCTCTTTATTGAATACTTCCTTGATGTTTTTATATACATGTATTCTGATTATTATTTATACAATAATATATAATTATCTGTGATAATTACTGTCAAGGGACCACATTATTTATCGCCCTGCGTAATGTTTTATTCGTACGTTCGCAAAGTTTATATAATGCTGAGGAGTACTGTTGATACAAGATTTTCTCTATCTACTTTTATCTTTCTTGATGAAAAAAAATACACATGATATCTTTATTTTTGTTGTATACTTTGTCGATAAAGGTATTATAAAACAAAATAGACTAGCTGTAAGATGGCCTTTTCAGGGTTGTGTTGAAATAATTGTCACAGGGTGGCTGGCGGCTTCCCAAAATCACACAATACAGTTTTGTTATATATATAGTTTTTTATTTACAAAAATGTACAAACACACGCGTTTCTACATGGCTCACTGCTGGATGGCATACATGGCATAAGTGGCCTAAATAAATGGGGCCTATAAAATAAAACAAAGTTAGATACAGACATAATATAATTATACATTGCTCATACTTGTACATTTTGCTGTACATTTACTTATGTGCATTTTACTGCATTACACTTTACTTAATTGCATTTTACTGCACTGTACTTATACTTCACTTCAAATCACTTCATACTACTTTACTTCATAGAACATTTACGTTCACACATAAACTAAGTGTATTACTTGTAGACAACCACTTTAAGACGAATACTATACACCATACTTTATACATACAACACTACGTCTACATTATACATATACTCATACACTTATACTTATACTTTTACTTATAACACATATACTTTACATGAGCAAATACTACTTCGAATCAAACTTACGATTGAAATTATAGAACAAAGTTCTGTGGCCATTTCAGGAATAAAAACCGTCAATAAATCATACAGCTTACAATAATAAATAAAATACACTTACCCAGAATAGGTGGACCTCTGGTCATGAAATATTAATGAAATATATAACTAAACAGGGGAAAACTTGAGCCGTCTTAGATCTCGACTGCTCTCTTCAGTCGCTACGCCCAATCTGATTTCACGTGATTTAAATCGCCAGGTAAAACCTGCTAAACAAGCTTAAAAGTATGGTAAACATTTTGGGCAAATAATATTGGTAATATAGAATTTAGATAAAAACATATGGAATTCAAATACGGACATCAATTGGGACATTACCTTCCCCCTTTAAAGAAAAATTACATAAGTGTAATTTTTTCCCAAAACACAATTTATGTACAAGTTTTTTTTATTACTTTTTAAACATAAGATAAAACAAGATAAAATTCTTCATTCATCAACTTTATTTATATACAAATACTGACGGATTCTTACTGTCTGCTAAAATAATCCGCTCCTACATTGTCCTTCCCTCTAATAGCCCTGATGCGGAATCGGTATGGCTGAAGTGACAATGCCCATCTCATTAGTCTGGAGTTCACCAACTTCGTCTTATTCAAATATACCAGCGGATGGTGATCTGTCTCTAAAATAAACTCTTTGCCATAGAGATACCTGTGAAACTTTTGCACTGACCAAATGATACCCAAGCATTCCTTTTCTATCGTCGAGTAGTGTTCTTCACTTGCTTTTAGTTTGCGGCTGGCATAAGCAACAGGGAGTTTGAATTCACCTTCTTCCTGTAAAAGTACTGCTCCTATACCTCTGTCGGATGCGTCAGTCTGTACAATGAAAACCTTGGAAAGATCTGGTAATTTCAAAATCGGAGATTGAATAATAGATGCTTTTAAATTTTGAAATGCTAATTCCTGAGCTTCTGTCCACTGAAGTTTACTAGGAGAGAACTTTCTTGTGAGGTCTGTTAATGGAATGGCTATATGGGCAAAATTCGGGATAAACTTTCTGTAAAAATTTACCAGTCCTAGAAAAGATCGCAGTTGTTTTTTCGTCGTAGGATGGTTCGCCTGTTGTATAGCCGACACTTTATCTGGATGAGGATGTACTTTGTCATCGCCTATGATATGACCCAAACACTCCAATTTCCGATAAGCCAAAGAACATTTCATTGGTCTGGCGGTGAGATTCGCTGAACGGAGACGCTGTAAAACCTGAGAAAGCACAGAGATATGCTGATCAAAAGTATGAGTAAATATCAAGATATCATCAATGAAATTATCAACATTAGAAATGTGTTGAGCATCTCGCGCATGAGACGACAAAAAGTAGCCGGAGCTGTGACCAGCCCGAACGGCATTTTGGTGAACTGGAAAAGACCTTGGGGAGTCTGAAAAGCTGTCATTGGACGGGCAGAATCAGACAATGGCACTTGCCAGTACCCCTTTGACAAATCTAACCGTGAGAAGTATTTATGACCTGATAATTTAGCAAACATTGCGTCTACATCAGGCATAGGCTCCGCATCAAACACAGTAATGCGATTCAGAGCTCTAAAATCGACGCAAAACCGATATGTGTTGTCCTTCTTTGCAACAAGGACTATTGGGGATGAATATGGGCTTTCCGAATATTCTATTACCCCAAATTCTAACATTTTACGTACCTCATCTTTCACTGTTTCCATCATAGCAAAAGGGATTTGTCTCGGACTTACTCTCACAGGTTTATCCGTTGTTGTCCTGATTTCATGTTCAAGCACATGCGTGTGGCCTGGTACATCTGTTAAAACATCACTATACCTGTGTAAAAGATCCATAAGAGTTTGTCTTTCCTCTCTGTTGAGATCTGGATTCACATCTACATCTTTGTAGGATTCTCGAGACTGTACGTGTACGAACTCTGCTTCTTCATCATACTCACCAACTGATTCATCAAACTGAATCTGTTCTGAATCTACAACTGACATAACACATTGAATAACTGGTTCACAACATTCTACGTATCTTTTCAACATGTTTGCGTGATTGGTCTTTACTTTTCCCTTCACATCTAACTGATAGTCTACTTTACCTATCTTTTTCACAATTTGATAAGGGCCTTGCCATTGCATAAGGAGCTTATTACTATCAGAAGGCAACAAAACCAAAACTTTCTCACCTGGTTTCATATTTCGGACTCTAGCCTTCTTGTCAAAGTACACTTTGTGTCTTTGTGACGCCCTCTTAAGATTCTCCTGCGCCAACTCCCAAGTTGTCTCCAATCGCTCGCGGAGATCTAAAATGTACTGGTAGCTATAGGTAGACTTTACCTGTTGATCTGGAATTTCTTTCGTCCATAGTTCTTTCAGGATCGTCATGGGTCCTCTCACCGTACGACCATATAACAACTCAAAGGGAGCAAAACCCAAACTTTCCTGGGGCACCTCACGATAGGCAAAAAGCACAGTGGGTAGATAATTATCCCAGTCTTTTGGTCTATCAATACACATACGTTTAAGCATTTGCTTAAGTGTGCCGTTAAACCGTTCAACTAACCCGTTGCACATAGGGTGATACGGAGTAGTTGTTAACTGTTTCAACGAAATGAGTCTACTCACCTCTTTCATGAGTCCGGAAGTAAATTGACTTCCCATGTCATTTCCTCCGGAATACCTGTATAGGAGAACATCTCAAGTAAGGCCTCAGCAACCCGCTCTGTGTCTATTCCTGGAAGCGCCTTCGCTTGAGGAAATCTTGTGGCGTAATCGACTAAAGTCAAAATAAAACGATTACCTTTTTCAGTTGGAGGGTGCAGTGGACCTACAATGTCTACAGCAACTCTTTTAAAAGGCACGTCTATTAAAGGCATTCTACCTAAAGGAAGTTTAGTTACCGTACCCTTAGACACCACTCTTTGACATGTATCACATGACCTACAAAATCGTTTAATCTCCGACTGCATTCCTGGCCAAAAGAACTCTGACAAAATCCTAGAAATGGTTCTACTAATCGCTAAATGGCCAGACATGATCGATTCATGGGCTAATTTCATTACAATATGACGAAACTTTGATGGGACTATAAGTTGAGAATAGGTCTTACCACCGTCCTTTTCTGCTGACACATATTCCCTGTACAGAAGACCATTCTTTTCAAACCATTTGACCTTACCATCACGTGAAGTACGACCTTCCTGTGCATATCTGCGTGCTGTTTCAAGTGACGGATCTGACTGCTGTTCTCGCATTATGTCATCTGTATTGATTTCATCTTTGACAATATCTGGCACTTTAAGTGGTTTATACTTTTTCTGTTTTTCTTTTACCTGTTGTCTTGTTTCAACCGCTGTGATAGTGTTAGGTTTCCATTCTGGATCCGGATCATGAGGTTTTCTCGCATTCTCTACTTCACCTATAATCAGATCAAAGACAGGATTTTCCATACACCAACATTCATACTCACCTGATACATAAGGAGAATCAATGACAACCTTTGCCACGGGGACCACTATTCTCGTGTTGTCTGCCAAAATACACGTTTCTTGTCTACCTGTAAAGTTTTCCTCTTTTACTAGACTCTTGCGCACTACAATGTTTCGACACCCTGAATCTCTCAGTAAGGTAACTGGATGACCCTCAACGTAACCAGCTGAAAGAGGCATTGGTTTCGCTGTAGAATGACATGCCGATGTTAAAACCGTTGTATGATCACTTACCTGACTATAAATAGACGGGTTTTGACTGTAAATCAGCGCTGCGCAGTTATTTGGATTTGCATTACGACCATTTGTTTGAACTTTCCCACGTTCGTCCTTGCACACTGCTACACTTGAGTTTTTACTTTTAAATCTGCACTGGGGTGCAATGTGACCATATTTGTTACATACAAAACATTTTCTTTCATTGTTTGGAACAAACCTTGGCTTCTGTTGCTGATGCTGACGTGCATCTTTGGGTTTTTCTGGTACCTTACTTACCTCAGGTTTATTCACTGCCTTTGAACATAAATTGACTGCACTAGTATTTCTGGCTTCCCTAAACTGATCAGCTAACATACTCATCTGATCCACTGTCTTTGGAACATTCTTCTTCAGAAATACAGCCAATTCAAAATTACACACATGTAACATTTGATCTCTAAGCATAAGATCGAAAAGAGCTTCAAATGAACAAGTAATTTTGGACATTTCTACCCACCGAGTCAAGTAAGAAGCAAGTCTAACAGTGAACTGAGAAAATGTTTCCCCAACTTCAGGTCTACAAGAACGAAATTTCTTTTTAAAACCATCCTCTGTCATTTCGTACCTACGTAGTAAAGCTTCTTTAAGTTCATTGTAATCACTTACTTTTGACGTGGACATAAGAGCATATACATCTAGAGCTCGTCCTTTCAATAAAGCGCTGAGGTGTGTCGACCATAAAGATTGCTCCCAATTCATGGCAGTTGCAAACCTCTCAAATCTTCTCAAATAGCTATCAATCTCATCTTTGTTCTCGTCAAAAGGAGGAATTTTCGGTACACTAGGTTTTACCATAACATCACTAACCTTACCTTGTGCACTTTTGTTTGCCAGTTCTAATTCGTGTTCCTCTTGTAGCTGCTTCATCTTCATCTCATGATACATGCGTTCCATCTCTAGCTGATATTCTCGTTCTTCTTTTTCTCTCTGTCGAGCTGCTGCTCTCTCTTCACGTTGCAATTTCTGTTGTTCTGTAACATAATTTCTTAACTCTTCTTTTTCATAACCTAATTTCTCGCCTGCAGCGATTAAATCTTGCACTGAGTCCATTTTTACGGACATGACCTTTTGAACATAACACCTAGACCTTTGTAACAACTTTGTGTGACCACTTATATACTGCACTTCTACATGTACTACTAACGACTCTACTACATGTATACTTTGAATTTTACTTTCTGTATATTGTGGTACTACATGTACTACTAATGTCACTACTACACTCGGAATTTTACTTCCTACTGAATTTGAAAGTTTGAGATTGGGCGACACAACTGTTAATACTTTGGACTTATTTACCACACTACTTTTACCCTGACCAGTCTCCACGTACTCTGAGGAAGTCCACCCCTCACTACTTCTAGAAACCTTCTGGACCCCAAATGACCATGGAACATTGCCTACAATGACAATTGCAAAAGTGAGAACGATTACAAACTTCATGTACATACAGAATACAATCAGAGAACATGTATGAAATATTCACTACATTTCAAGGCAAGTAATTCACTATTCTAACTACTTTTATAACAAAGTCTTTTGTATGAATTGTAAAATGTTTTCAGTAGTTGTTTTCTTTTTCTTACAGTTTGACAATAAATGTTTTAATTGAAATAAACAGTTAAATGAGTTTCCTGTAGGACGGATTCAAGTCGTCTTGCTTAAGAACATCAGGCACTGTCGGTGACATGTAGATTTCCTCTGCGAGGTTCCATAACCGAAGACACCACTTGTATTTGGAATCTGTTTCCAGGTTGACTGTGTATCCTGACGTCGTCCTGTGTTAATGTCGATATCCTTGGATATCCTGGGACTGAATTCCTGGGATTGGTATCCCACTTCTGACACCAATTTTTGTCACAGGGTGGCTGGCGGCTTCCCAAAATCACACAATACAGTTTTGTTATATATATAGTTTTTTATTTACAAAAATGTACAAACACACGCGTTTCTACATGGCTCACTGCTGGATGGCATACATGGCATAAGTGGCCTAAATAAATGGGGCCTATAAAATAAAACAAAGTTAGATACAGACATAATATAATTATACATTGCTCATACTTGTACATTTTGCTGTACATTTACTTATGTGCATTTTACTGCATTACACTTTACTTAATTGCATTTTACTGCACTGTACTTATACTGCACTTCAAATCACTTCATACTACTTTACTTCATAGAACATTTACGTTCACACATAAACTAAGTGTATTACTTGTAGACAACCACTTTAAGACGAATACTATACACCATACATTATACATACAACACTACGTCTACATTATGCATATACTCATACACTTATACTTATACTTTTACTTATAACACATATACTTTACATGAGCAAATACTACTTCGAATCTAACTTACAAGTGAAATTATAGAACAAAGTTCTGTGGCCATTTCAGGAATAAAAACCGTCAATAAATCATACAGCTTACAATAATAAATAAAATACACTTACCCAGAATAGGTGGACCTCTGGTCATGAAATATTAATGAAATATATAACTAAACAGGGGAAAACTTGAGCCGTCTAAGATCTCGACTGCTCTCTTCAGTTGCTACGCCCAATCTGATTTCACGTGATTTAAATCGCCAGGTAAAACCTGCTAAACAAGCTTAAAAGTATGGTAAACATTTTGGGCAAATAATATTGGTAATATAGAATTTAGATAAAAACATATGGAATTCAAATACGGACATCAATTGTGACAATAATTAAGGATCGACAAATTTGACTGCAGTAAGAATGCTTATATTTTAGATATACTTAATTAGATGAGACAAATGTTTATGCAGATAAAAATACTGAGTGATGCGTTAGTAGTTTTGTTAAGTGTAGAAATGTTATAGTGTATTATGATAGAGTACTAGGAAGTACATATACTATGTGAATTACCAAGTAAAAAAAGGTTCATGTACTTCCTAACACTGTAGAATCCTTATATACATTGCATTTTGCATTGTACTCGTGAATTTTTAAAAGTGTTTACTAGTAATTGTCTGCAAGAAATCTTATCAAAACATTAACATCATTTTAATATTTTTAATTATTATTTCAATTGTTCTTTTTTAGTTTTAAAGCAGCATCAGTTTCCCTGTTTCTCAATTCATTGTCAACTGAAAATTTAGACTAAACTGCAATCGTTTTGAATGTTGTTTTTTGGAAGCTGAATAAAAGAAAAAATGGAGATTCAAACTTTCGTACAAGATTGATTCTGAAATCGGCAACAAGAAGTACCCCTTTGTTTGTGTATGATAAAAGTGTATACAAGTTTTTATCTTTTCAGAAGATATTTTATTTCATCTGATAGTTTTTAAACTGTAAAAAATAAGATGAATATCAACGCTGTTCCATTTAAAAATAAATGTTTCAAATGATTATGTAAATAACAATATTTTTAAATTTTCCTATTTTTTGGGGTTTAATAAGAATATGGGTCAACCGCTGTCATATTAAAGGAAACGTCGGGTCTAGAATAATATTTTGATGTTTCATTCTTTGAATGATCATTAATGAATTTTACCTGATATTGCCATTTGTTTTTGCTTAATTATTAAGTAATAAGACACCAAAGTTATGTGTGAACTGACTGCTGGAGGCTGCCATGTTGGGAGATAAAGTTATATCGCTTGCTAAATAATCCTCACAATCCTCACGTTTATGACGTATTTAGGACACATTAGCTTTGAGAGTAAACATTATCATGTTGATATCAAGTCTTGAAAATGTACCAATTTAGTGTTTGGGATTTCATTTTAAGTCCGAATGTAATAAAGGAAATATATTTTCACATGCAGGGAAATAAAAGAAGGAATTTATAATAAAAAGCACTAAACTGAGCATAAATATTTAAAATGGTTGTTTATTTTACTTGATTTTAATTCAAACCTTTTAAAAAGTTCAGATGTGTCCAAGAATGATGTTAAGCTTTACGTGCTCTTATCAGCGGTGTAGTGTTATAAGATGCAGCTTTTCTTTTTTTATATTAGAGGTACAGTTTTATATAAATATATTATATAGAAATTAAAATTCTGACCATACATTCCTTTTAAAGCTGAACATGACTCTTAAACATACGCCGTATTCGATTAAACTACAGATATCAACATCGGGATATATACCTTTTGTATTCGATGCAATTGTCTGCTTAATTGCGACGGGTATCGTTGTGGAATGGCCACACGTGTTTACATTTTATGGCAGTTAAGCGTTTTTGTTTTTGTATCCTCTTTGGTATCTTCCTCTTTCTCTACCGAGTGCTGTGAAGCATCACAGGATGAAAAGCCAGGTTTCCCAATTTTGGAAACCCGATGGAAACATATGGGAATCGTGACATCAGTAGTTTCCATATAGTTTCCATATTATGGAAACCACATAGTGGTTTCCACATAGATTCCCAACATGGAAACAATCAACCTGTGGTTTCCCGTAAGTTTCCCAAGATAGGAAACCGTGGAAACATGCCTCAGTGGTTTCCATGTAGATTCCCGACATGGAAACAATCAACCTGTGGTTTCCTGTAAGTTTCCCAAGATAGGAAACCATGGAAACATGACTCAATGGTTTCCATATAGTTTCCCGACATGGAAGCCATCAGTCTGTAGTTTCTCCCATGTTTCCCAGGTAGGGAAACTTTGAAATTTTATCTCATACTAATTTCCAACTACATGTACTTTTTATTTCACAAAAAGTTAAATATTTTCTGAAGATTCTACATTTTTTCCCGATTATAGATTTTTTTCAAACGAGTACACATACTGTATCAAAAGAATTAAATCGGTCTCTTTAAACAGTTAAAATAACTCAAAGTGTATTTATATGAATAAAATTTAATATTTCATGACCGTGAACGCAAATTAATTTTAAACTGGATTTATCATGTTAGTCGTGGTGAACTCGTGTAGAATGCGTGAATTGGAATAAAGAAGAGTAAGTGCAGTTATATGGAAATCAATCATAAAAAGAGAAGTTCCGATTACTGATTAAAAGACAAAATATAGAAGAGTAGGACTTAGTATAGTTACATAGAAATAAATATAAACTGGTCAGAAAAAATCATTCATCGAGTGAGGTGGGGGTCTGAGTATTATAATGCTAGTAATTTGCTATAGTAAATATTGTTTAAGATAACTTTTTGTTAGTTTTCTTATTTATTTTTTTATTTATTTATTTTATTTATTTTATTTGTTTATTTATTTATTTATTTATTTATTTTATTTATTCATTTATTTCTTTATTTTTTTTTTTTGCTTGTCATCCCCGCTCCCCCAAAAAGCATATTTGAAAACGTTGGTACGGCCTGTGTAGTCTTCACGTGCCATATCAGGTGGAGACACGTGCCGCGAAGACACCTGGGGACAGGAGACACCTGTCACTGTGTATTTTTTGTATATTCTATGTGATTTGAGAGGGTTTTCTACCTACAGGAAACAATGGGCTGGTGTCAAGCATGTACACACACAGTCTCTGCAGACTTGTCTAAAGTTATAAGATGATGATTTGTGTTTTTTATAATCATTAAAAATCATTGTATAGTAATCGTAAGTTATACAAGAGAACATAATTTAGTCGTAAAATAACCTACATTTATTTTAAGAAGTTCAATGAAAGAACAAACTATTTAGAATTTCGATTTCAATGTTTATTACTGATTTGAAATAAAACCTTCCTGTTAGAAAATTGAATAATTTTCTATAGGTATAGATTCTGAATAAAAAATATAAATCGTGTATAATCATGATAATTATATTAAATCATAATCACTGTATAGATCAATGACATTAATACGGTATTTAATAGTCTTGATGTTTTGTGTAAAATTTGTAATCCAACTACAAAGACATCTGTAAAATAATGTTTAAAATATTCATATAAAAAACATTTTTTTTATTATTATTTCTTTTGATTTAAATTTGTTCGCAGATCCCTGTGTGGTAAAGTCTGCATGAAACTACAAAGGTCCTAAATGCACATGTTTATTTAACAAAACCATGCATCCCCCCAAAGGCCATTGCTCTACATGTAACTAAAGAAAAATCTATAAAATTATACATTATTTTGTTTTCCTCAAGAACAACGGCTTTTGATGTATAGTGCATTAAGTGTGCATTTGTATTACTGTGCATTTTTTGTTGATGACATTATATAAAGAAGTGAAGGTTTTCAATACAACTAGATTTTCTTTATCTACGTTGTCCACTACTTTATTTCTATTCTACATGCTGTAAATTACTCTTTTAAAGAAATAATTATAATTAATGCGTGTTCTTAAATTTGACGAGACTCAAACTACAGGCCTGTAGGAAAGTAATTTCCGTTTGCGTAATAAACTTACCGGGAATTTTTTTTTTACTAGAATACATTACCAAATTTCCTTATTACGAAAAAAAGTATATAAGAAGAGATACAGAGCGGGATCAGCTAAAGCTGTGTGCATAAACTCACAACCATTCATATTAACGAGTATCTATAGACAGTAGATGACTTTTGACACAATCTTCCAATGACCTCACTTATACCCGTCACGACTAAAATACTGAATCAATATACTGTTAATTTTTCCTGCATGCCTTTGATTAGATATTAGTTTTGTTCCACCTTGTGATAACTCTCCTTAAAAAAGGCTTTTTGACATTCTAATACAGTAAACAATATAACATGTTAAAATGATGTGGGAAATTTATTTAACTACAGGCCAATATTTTTCAAGTACGATATAGCAAATAGAAAAATGCACAGTAATCACCTCCACCAGTAATAATATAATGATAGCAGGCTCAAAATCTATACCAAACAAGCTAATTCAGAGAATTCGTGTCCCCCGCTTAGGGAAAAAGTCGGCTCCCCCTGACTGAATTTGTAGAATTATTAAATGTATGCATGTATACTGAAGGAAATAAAATACATGTATGTCAGTATTCATACAAAGATTTGATTGCTTATTCTTTATTATGTGTATAGAAGATTTTTTTATATGGAATATTTATCACACTGTAATGATGATTTTATAACCTCATAAATTTTTCATTTCACATGCTCAATACTATCATTTAGTAAAAAAAAAAGTATTTAAAGAAAAAAAAAAAGAAAAGTTCGACCGAGATTCGATCCCAGGACCTCTCACATGTGAAGCGAGAGACATAACCACTAGACCACGGAGTCGCTTTACACAAACAGAAGTATATGCAGAACTGAAGTCACATACATGTATATATTCATGTTTTCATGTTCGGTTTTCTCAAAATTTTACACAATCCATGGTGTTTGATTTATTTAGCCTTTATTAAACAGTTCTAATAGATGTAATAAGAACATAAAGTCCGCCGAGAACCTGTTTTATACGCAATAACTCTCCTCATGCCCCTGCGCTAAAAATAGCGCCATGTAATACTATAAATACTAATAAAACAAACGGGGCGGGGCACTTTGAGAGGGGCGAGAGACGTCCTAGGGAGTTTTGGTATAAAATTACACTGCATAAGCTCAAAATCTTCTTGAAATATCGCCTGGAAATGATAGTATTACATACAGACAGAATGTATAAATTTACGACCTTGAACTTTGAACTTTTGACCTCAAAATCAATAGGGGTCTTCATTAGGCCACAGGGAGTTGTTATATAAAATTTCATTGCAATAGCTCAAATGGTTCTCGAGATATCGTGTGGAAACGAAAGTGTTTTAACAGACAGAATTTGCTTATTTA